TTATGGCTATTCGTACAACAAACGGAGTCGGTACAACTCCTACGATGACGAAGACAGTGACAATGGAGAAGATGCCGAGATGGGTGACATCTACAACGAGACGGTCACAGTCGTCGAGTGGATTAACGAGCGAAACGAGAAGGCTGCTTTGTCGTTTCTCAAGATCAACCTCGATGACGAGCTTGTCAACGATGTCGACGATATCTTCGAGGATATGGAGCCCACCAACCGCGAGTACGAAGGCTTTATGGGCAACTCTGGCCCGTCGCTCGAGTTCACGTATCAACGAACGCTTCTCGTCCTTTGGCCGAAAACCCGCGCCCTAGAAGTTGGCGGCGTCGATGCCGCGCTCCAGCAACTTGACGCACTAATTGGCGCCGATGACATCGCCACTGCAAGGGCGCTGCTGGTTCGCATTGCGGGCTTTGCGGGCTTTGCGAGAACGCCCAAGCCAGCACAGGTCGCAAATGCTCTCAAGGCCGCGGCCGCGTTGCATGCGCTAGAGCCGGCGCTGGTCATACTGCGTAACTTGGCTGCTATGCCCAAGCCCTCGACGTACATGAGCAGCTACGGTTTCCACCGTCAAGCGTCCACGTTGGACAAAGTGCCAGCGGTGCTCGTTGCGTCACTTGGTGCGTTTCTGACTGCGTTCAAGTGGACGAGTGGCATGGAACAGCTCGTCACCAAGACGGTCGTACCGCGTCTCGAGGCCCCCGCTATAGTGCAACTTGCCTGTACAGCACCGGTCGCTGCGAATGCGCTCTTCGTTGCCGTCGACTGGAAAGACACGCAGCTGCCTTTAGCGTCGCTCCAGGTTTTGCACGACATGTGCGCCAATGGCTGGCTGTCCACGGACGTCTTTTTGCAGCTCGTGAACTCTGCAGCACCGAAGTACGCTGACGTTGCCTCGCTCGTCCAGTACGCGGTTGAAAAGAAGAGCACGGCCTCCGCACCTTTAGCGGTCACACTGGCCAAGCGCCCACTAGACGTTGCTCATGCGGTCGCGATTGCAGACACGATGTTCTCGGTGCCTGAGGCAGAACCTCAATTTGTGCGTTCCCTCGTGGCGGCCACAACCCTCAAGTACGCCGACATGGTTTCACTTGTAGCACTTGCGGCGACCAGGAAGAACCAGAACCTGGTACCGCTAGCTGTCGCGTTGGCGAAGCGGCCTCCGGACGCTACGCACTCTATCACAATTGCGTCGACACTGCTCTTGGTACCGGAGGCTGCGCCTGTCTTTGTCGAGTCCCTCAAGGCGAAATGTGGTCGTCGCAACGACACAATCGTCAAGTGTGTCCTGCGCGCTGCTCGGTCCGCGGCTGGTACTTCGTCATCTTACATTGCCCTCGCCCACTTCCGACTGAGCTTGCTGCCACCTGCAAATGAGCCGCCACCAGCGTTCACGTGGTGCCAATCGAACGCATTTCTACCGGCACGCCCCGACGTCCAAGCATTCCTCCGTGGGCCGACGCAGCGCATGGTCGTTTCGGGCTTCAGCGGCATTGCTCAAGCACGAACCTTTGCCTCCATGTACTTTAGCAAGTCGGACAACATCAGTGTGACCACGACAACCTTTGGCACGGGCAAGAACGCGCGCTGTGAAGTCATCAAAACAAGAGCAGTTTTCGAGGAGACGCTGCGCGCATGGGAGCAGCTGCACAAAGAAGGAAAGAAGCTTCGTGAGCTCCTGAGTCCAAAACCACTTTCGAGTCAAGTTGCTGCGAGCCCGGCGGTAACTACTTGCCAAACGTCTTCGCTAGCCGCAACCCCTCGGCCTTTCGCGGCGGCTGCTAAAGGACTCGCGCCGATGCTACCGGTGACAAACTACGCGACGCAGACAGAATTTGTGCCCGTGGTAGCTTTCGCCGCAATGACGCCAGTAGCGCGATCTGTTGACCTCGCACCCTCCAACGCGATCACTCAACAATCTGCTGCGACCCCATGGCGACCAACCAGTGCCACATTTGATGTCATTGACCTTTCGTTGGATGACTAAAATGATGATAAAGTTGATTTGTGTTCACGAGATTTGCATGCCAGTTCCGTACAGGTAGGACGACCGACCATTAGCAGTGCGAAGTTTGTGAACCGCGCTAGAGAAAGTCACGGTCGCAACGACGGAGTCGAGTCTCAATAGAGTGCGATCACCAGGATCCGCATGTTGAAGCAAGCAAGATCATTACCACCGATCTATGCGTGAACCCATGAATACCAACCAGAGCACCCATGAGGTGGCTGCGTCGTGGAGCGGGGTTTAGCGCATACTACTAGAACTTCGCACGTCCTCAGGACGGCGCTCGTCGGATGGACAAGTTTGTGCGGGTTCTCCGTGACATTCGAGCGTTGGGAAATTGATGTCTTGATCAAAATGATCATTTTGTTAGCTGAGCAGCTTGTCCCAATGCTGGTCCCAATGCGTGGCGTAGCGCTGCCGGGTGGCCAAGATCTCACAGCGAAGATACTGATTTGGCCCACCCCGTCGAATTGTACGGGAGGCAGTCCCGATCGTAGATCTCTAGGCGCGTCATCACGAGTGCAAGCTTGGGCGTAAGCGATTGAAGCGTTCCAGATAACGGCTTTTGATGGCGTGGCCAGCACAAAGACATAAGGTCGTCCAAGTCTCCCAACAAATGTTCACAGCGTGTACCACTTCATTGCAGCGTTGTAGTATTTGCGAATGTGGCAGTTGGGCCACGGGGCTCACTTCAGTAAAATCATATAGGCACAGCCAAGATTATAAAAATGATATTCATTCCTCTACCAAGACCGAGCTACTTGGGGGCAACAACCGTGCTGGTGTCCGCCGTGCCAGTGATGGCGAGCGGGTTAGCTATTCGACTGATACCAATTTGGAAATGACTGGAGCCTGCTTGCTCTGCGCCTGGATCTTGGATCTTGTAACCTGTGTGCGCTTTCTAAATCTTGGTCTTCTAGGTCGCTCGGACTTGCACAAAAACCCCTTCAAATTCTTCGAAACGGCCCAGCACCTGGCCGCTGCATGACCTGGGGGTGTTTC